CGGGAATACGGTGGCCAGCGGGACAAGGGACCCGATCCTTCCTCTCTACTCAGCGCCGGTGAGGCCACGTCTGGAGTGCTGGCTCCAGTTCTGGGCTCCCCAGAAACTGTGACCCTTACTGTGTTGCAGGTTTGCAAGGGCTAAAGGGAGTTTTTTCAGCACTGCGTGGTTCTTTTTGGGGCAGTGAGGCCACAGCTGGGCTTCTCACCACCGTCCCAGTCAGAAGGTGCTTGGGCATTCTCTCAGGCAGACATACCCTGGTGTCGAAACGCTGCCTCTCAGCTCCAGGTCTCATTGCCAAAGGGGCCTGGGGCACCTGAGAATTCCTGTAGGAGCCTGAAGGAAGAGATCAAGCAGTCTGCTGTCAGGCAATAGGAGGCTGCAGGCTCTTCTCCTGCTTTTGGCTCCTCCTGGACATCACAACCAGCGCAACCAGCCCCCAGCAAGGGAGCAGTGTCCATGCTGAACTTCTCCTGCCATTCAGTGCCCAGCCAGAGACAAGGGCCTGCACCCACCTTTCTTGAGGATGGAGACAGCCCCCCTTGAAGCCTCCGACATGCTCCTTGTCGCTCAGTGGTGTCTGAAAGGAGGTAAAACCAGGAACAGTCAAAGGCACCAGGAAGCAGGAGTCTGACTTCCTCTCCCTACAGGGGGTTTCTCTCTCTTCTCAAGTGTCTCTGGAAATAGCACCTGCTGTAAACATCCTACCCAGAGTCAGACACACCACCTCTCTCTGGCAAGAGGACACACAACCCTCTTCCTTACAAATATCTTCTCCCCATCCCTCCAGGTACCACAATTGACTCCTTGTCTGGAGGTGAGACCTTCCAGAAGGGTGAGAAGAGAGGATCATCTTATAAACTCAGAGGTGTTTCTGCCTACAGTGGAATCAGAACTCATTATGGGATGCAGCGGAGAAAGTATTTTAGGATGGTGCAAGACATGGGGTGCCTAGCAAAAGCAGCAGAGACAGGGAAGGGGAAGGATCAAGGCAGTTTGGCCTGGAGAAATCATGGGAAGACAGATGGAGAACAAGGATGAGAGGGGCTGATCCCATGTGAACACGTGACTGATCTGCATGCTCACCTGGCCATGCCTGGTTGTCCAGGCCTTGTTTGTCCACTTGCCAGTAGCTCCCTGGAAACACAGTTATGAAGTCCAGCTGGGACAAGTTGCAGGGCTGATCCTTCACTCTGTGCCACTGAAGCCTCTGACCATGAGCTTTGAACTGCTCTGTCAGCTACTCAAGCCACACAGAGTTCCAGGGACTGGCTGGAGCCCACAGTCTCTTTCCAGAGGCCTCCTTCCAGCTCTCACTCACCTCAGACTTCCAGCCCCTTAGGGAAACTTTGCCAATCTCTTTCTGACTCACTCATCAAGTAGGAACCTGGCTTCCCGTGAGGCTGCACTCAGTGTGTCCAGTCCACACTTTTACCTTGTCTCCTGGGCCTCAACTCCAAAGGTTCTGAATCCTGTAAAACAAGCTCATGGTCTCAACACTGAGCCACTGTGAGGAGTGCTTGAAGGTGCCTGTGACCACAACATCCCCTTCTCCTGTCAGTGTGGACCCCGAACTCCTGACTCCATGGGATGACTTTTTAATGCTAGCAGGATTATTTTGAAAGCTCCTTGAAAGCCTGTACCATGCAGTTTTTAATTGTATATCCGAGCTTTTACAAAGTAACAAAATGCAAAACCCCTTCTGGTTGGTCTTTCCTAAGTCAAGTTTTGCATTAGCAACTCAGCCCTGGAGTCCCTGAGTTTACAGAGCAGAGGAAAGCACCTGCTCAGGGCTCCCTTAGCTGAGCCAGTGGGGAAAGGCAGCAGCCGGAGCAGAGGCCCTGTATGCTCCATGCCAGCAGTGGCCGGTCCCTGCGACAGGACCGAGGGCTGCCCGGCTGCCCGGGGGCAGGAGGAGCTCTGCTGCCCGCCTCCCTGTGCAGAGCAGAAAGGCGCTGCTCCTTGCCGGGAGCCAGCGGGGCCAGTGGGGGCAATTGCTCCTTCCCGGGCACTGCTGGACACCACCACTGCTCCGGTTGCGAATCCTGCCCCGCTGCTGCCACTGTTGCAGGGAGTTTCTGTCTCTGTCCCAGTGCTGGTGCCAGCAGTGGGCCAGCGGGGGTCCCTGGCTGCAGACCTGGCTCTTCTCCCCATGTCTCCCACAGCACAGTAGTGAAGCAGGGGAGGCACCTTCTGCCACAGTAGCGACTGGAAATGCCAGAGAGGTCACAGCACCCAGAGGTGATGGGCACTCCCTGAGAGCTGAGGATGCTGCCAGCAGCAGCAGAGGTGGAGGATCCCACAACGGTGTTCTGTGGGAAGGAGCTGAGGATGGGGCCAGGCAGGGTCACCACCACGGGGGAGGGCTGGATGATGACGGTGGAGTTCTGGCACTCTGACACAGGGCTCATTGCAGCTGTTGGCCAGCGAGGTTGGGCCACAGGGCCGGCATGGCAGGCACTGGTTGTAGCAGGACATGTCTCTGGGTTGGAGGTGCACCTGGGAGAGAGGGCAGAGAGGAATCAGAGCACAGGTGTGTGTGAGGAGCAGTCTGCCATGATTCCATGACCCCACCATGAGCGTTTTCTTCTCAGACTATATAAAACTCTACCTCCACCAGAAGCACAAAGCTTCAGGCTACCCAGCTTGGTGCACAGATGATGACAAAAAAGCTGAGTATGTTGAAGATGACAGGCCAAAATAAGATGCCATTTTGCGGCCTGAACATAGTAAGAAAACATTGCAAAACATGACATTGCAAAACTTTTTAGATTCTCTGTGGGGAAAATTTGGACAGAGATCCAGCCTACTCAAACATCGTAAGACAACCAGATGAGTTGTATGGTTACCTCTTTTCTCCAGCTTACGATATGTCCTCTTGTGACTTTATTGATGAGGATGTGGCCACTGTCTCATGGAAGCATGCCAAAGGGCGCATGACCCTAGAGTACAATACTAACATTTCTGTAGCTTGCTCCAGAACAGCATATGCACACCTAGAGCTTTACAATTTCTTAAGTTTCCGGCAAGACCATTGCCTTTATCTTGACACAGACTCTATGATACTTATGAGTTGTCCAGGGGACTGGGACCTCCCTGCTTGGCGACTGCTTAGGCAAGTTGACGGGCAAGTGTCTGCCAGATGAGAATGTTGTGGAGTTTATGTCATCAGGCCCTAAATCCTACAGCCACTTGCAGTCTGAAGGAAGTGTTGTTAAAGGTTAAAGGCATCACTCTAGATGCAACAAATAGAGGAAAAATCAGTTTTGAGGCACTGAGGAATCTTGTGTTGGATTATGATGTAAATCCAGACAGTGACGACCCTAAAAAGATTGTGATAGAGCAGCATTCTATCACCAGGAACAAGCAGAAGTGGGTAATAAAAACCAAGGCTCCTTTGGAAGACATGGTGGTCTACAGCATGAGAGTACTGACTGAAAATTTAAAAGCCTCCTCTACGGTTTTTGATCATGGGCATGTGCTGAAAGCATCCCTTTTCTGCTATCCTGGAAGGGCTTAGAAACTGTGGGAAAAGTTATTTCATAAAAACCCTTTTGGAGAATCACAGAATGGTTGAGGTTGGAAAGGACCTCTGAAGATCATCTTGTCCAACCACCCTTCTGAAGCATGGCCATCTAATGCAGGTTCCCCAGAACCATGTCCAGATGGCTTTTGAATATCTCCAAGGAGGGAGAATAAAAAAAGTGTTTCCTGATGTTTCAGACAGAGCCTCCTGTGTTTCAGCCTGTGCCCATCGCCTGTGGTCCTGTCACTGGGCACCTCTGAGAAAAGCCCGGCTCCATCTCCTTTGCACCCTCCCTTCAGGTGTTTATACATGTTGATAAGATCTCCCCTGAGACCTCTCTTCTCTGTGCTGAACAGACCCAGCTCTCGCAGCCTTTCCTCCTAGCAGAGATGCTCCCCTGCATTCATCATCTTTGTGCCCCTTCACTGGGTTCTCTCCACTACTTCCATAGCTGCCTTGCACTGGGGAGTCTAGAACTGGAACCAGTACTCCAGGAGTGGCCTCACCAGTGCTGAGTAGAGGGGAATGATCACCTTCCTTGACCTTCTGCCAACTCTCCTCCCCATGCAGTCCAGAACATATTGTTGGCTTTCTTTGAGGCAACGGCACGTTGCTGGCTCATCGTCAACTTGGTGTCCAGCAGGCAACCCACAACTTTTTCTGCGGAGCTGCTTTACAGCTGGACAGTCCCCAGCACATCCTGATGTGCTTGTTCCTCCTCAGGTGCAGGACTTTGCTCTTCCCCTTGCTGAACTGCAGGAGGTTCCTGTCAGCCCATTTCTCCAGCCTATTGAGGTCCTTCTGGATGGCAGCCTGATCCTCTGGTGTATCAGCCACTCTTCTCAGTTTAGCGAGAAATTAGGTCATTCGAAGTGGAGGTTCCCTGTGCGGGAAGGCTGGTTTCTGGGGTCCTCGCAGCAGGCTTTGAGGGGAGCACAAGACAGCAGCAAAGAAAAGAGAGAAAAGGGTGAGTGGAAGAGAGGAAAGGTAGACATTGGCCATGTTTTCCGAGAGCCCAGGCTGGTCCCTTCCAGTCTGCCCTTGCAGGGCAAGCCAGAGATGGTCAGCTGCTCTTCAAACAACGGCACAAACTTTGATCGTCTGTCCAGCATCATGCTCTGAGTTCCTGGGGGTCCTTATCTGAGGCCGTTGTAAGCACTTTTAGCAGGGGGGGCATCTGCTGCCACAGTAGCGACTGGTAATGCAGGAGAGGTCACAGCACCCAGAGGTGATGGGCACTCCCTGAGAGCTGAGGATGCTGCCAACAGCAGCAGAGGTGGAGGATCCCACAACGGTGTTCTGCGGGAAGGAGTTGAGGATGGGGCCAGGCAGGGTCACCACCACAGCAGGAGGCTCAATGATGACGGTGGAGTTCTGGCACTGCCTGACACAGGGCTCATTGCAGCTGTTGGCCAGTGGGGTCGGGCCGCAGGACTGGCAGCGCAGGCACTGGCTGTAGCAGGACATGTCTTGGGTGCCCAAGATGCACCTGAGAGAGGGCAGGAAGGAAGCAAAACATGGGAATGTGTGAAGAGCAGCTTGTCACCACACCATGAGGAAGCCAAAGCACACACAGGGCCAGGCAGTGAAGGCTGTGCAGAGATGTATGAGGGCTTCTTGGCCTTGCCCTGCCAGGGCCCATCTCATCTCCACAGTCCCAGCTTTCCTCTATGTCTAATTTTCTCCCTCTCCCACAACAAGCAGCCCCAAGATCTGGCATATGACAAAGCTGGTATCAGCTGAGAAGTCCATTGAGGTGAGACCTCCTTTTAGGGAAAGTGGAGAAAGCGAAGGGACTTCAGACTCACCTAGTTCCCCCAGAGAAGGAGGGAAGAGAAGTGGATGAGAGAGCGAGGAGCTGGGCTGCCTTTTATCATGGACCTTTACTGCCCCAGGCTGCCAGAGGCAGCCCTTGCAGCGGTCATTATTTTCTGACAAGCTCATCTTGAATGCAAAGCATCCCAGCTAATGCGATGGGCTGTGTTTTGGCTTCCTGAATTGCTGTCTTTCCATTTCCTGCTTTATGCCAGGCACATTCCCCAGGGAAGGCACCTTTTGCGTGACAGGATGAGAGACCCAAGCATTTCCAGACCAAAACACATCAGCGCGGGAAGAGAACTCCTCTTATATGCTGGAGGAGTCAAGTAAATTACGTCAGTCTGGGTCACATATTTGGGTCTTTTTGTGGCCCTGCTGGCAAGGAGTGGCCCATCTCCTGAGTTTGACCCTATCCTCCACCTAACACTGCTCTCAGGAAAATTCTGCTGGCCTGTTTTGCCTACTCCTGTTCGAGAGAGGCATGGGGAGAGATTTGTTGCAGGCTCCATTCCAGATCTCAGAAAGAAATGCCTGACAACAAACGGCGTAATAAAATACCTGGTTTAGTAAGACAAAATAAAAAGAGAAATATAGATAGCAAGTAAACCTTACATCCCTTCAGATGCTGGGAACCCTGGATTCATGCAGCATTGTACAGACCCAGGTGGATTTTCCCAAGACGCACTGTGCAGATCCCATCCAGAAAGAGCTTCTGCTCTGCTCCCATGCTCTGGTGCCTTTTATTTTGTGTAACAAAAAAAGAAACCATACATCTTGTCCTTACACGCAGGAAGGTTATTTCTGCCATAACACCCACCAGCGCCGAGCACAGGCTGGCACAGGGCACTCCAGCAGATTCCCTTGCAGCAGCTACTCATGCTAATGTATGGGCTTCTCAAGTCTTTAGTGCAAGGCCCAGTAGAGCAGACATGTCTTGCCCAAGATCACTGACTTCTCAGATACAATGTCTTCCGCAAGGCTCCCAATACACCTCCCCTCTCTGTGCAGTCTCCCTGGGTACCTAGACAACAGCATTAGTATGTTTAGGGCCTTGTCCTTCCCCAGAATGCTCCCCAGAATCCCTGCTAGGACTGTCCCCAGGATTTCCCCAGTTGAGTGCACAGTTGGTCATGTTTATGCCTGTGTTCTCTTGTCTGCACTTGTCCACATTTGTGCAAGTGCTCGTCAGTGCAGATTTTCACATGCTTCTACACGGGTTGTATGAGCATGTGCATGTTTGTGTGTCCTTGTGTGTCACTTATCATGAGGGAATTTGCCAGTCACAGCAAGAACACTCTACACTGCTCTGTCTGTGAGCTCCAGAGAACAGCCAGAGCCAGAAGGAGCCTGAGTGCAGCTGAACAACAACAGAACAGACCTGGCAGAGAACTGCCCACAGCACAGGCACTGAAACACAACTTTCTGTATCTTCAGCCCTCTTCTTCCTGCCCCTGCAAAGCTCACACTGTATTACTGCTGATTTCAGGCCCCAAAAAGGATGGTTTGACAACAGTTTGGGTTCTTAGCTTAATTCAGTATTCATAGTGCCTCAGCATAGCTTCTAGTCACCTCTCTGTTCCTCATCAGCCCAAGACACAGCTGTTGTCCAAAGTGTTAGAGAGAACAAAAGAACAAAAGAACGGGATTTGTTTTATGAGCTCCTTGTTTGAGGCAAGGAAACATTACTGGCTTATTGTCAACTTAGTGTCCAGCAGGACAACCCAGGTCATTTTCTGCAAAGCTGCTTTACAGCTGAGCAGTCCCCAGCACATCCTGATGCATGGGCTTGTTCCTCCCCAGGTGCAGGACTTTGCCTTTGTGCCCAAAGAAGGAAGTGTGGGTACCTTGTTGCCCTCCCACAGGCACTGCACCAAACCAGCTCCTTCCCATTGTGGCTCTCACCTGCACCATCACCTCCTTGCACTGAAATCCATCCTTCTTCTGGTACTGGTCACCTGGGAGCAGTGAGTCCAGGTACCTTCTGGGCACTGCTGGGTCCTCCAAGAACAGTGGCTGCTTTGTCCAGGGGATGCTCATCACCTGGGCAGATTTCAGCTGAGGGTCTGTGATTTACAGGGCCAAGGTCACCTTGCAGCCTTGACTGGTGGAAGAGTACATTACTGCAGAATTAAATGCACAGCAGTGAAGGCTCCCTCTCCATTGTATGCGAAGTACCCACCAAA